CCTCCTCCTTACCAAGCATGACAAGATAGTATCTCCAAAATAATTAAACAAATAATAACAGGAATTGCAATGTCAAAATTCAGCCCCTATCTCTTCTGTTCCTTTCTATCATTCTCTGCCTTCTTATTCCTCTCATCTTTATTTTAAACTGTGATACAGGTGAAATTTTACAAAACAGATTTCTTTTACATTCAACAGTTCATACACATTTTATATTGTGACACTGGTTACGTCCTCTGATGACGTTTTATGTGAGCTCCTTTTCTTCCAACAAAATCAGCCAATAAACCTCCGACTGAAATGTCTTTTAAAATATCCTACTACAGGTGCAGAGGATCTTCCCCATATCGCTTTCACTCTGTGGGCATGCTCAGAAGTGTGTAACACTGTGGCAGATTTTCTTTATTGGCAGGTCAGAAGGAATGAAGCCAAAGTTTCAAATTATTCAAAGGGTTTGAATAAAATTCCTCTATCTGAGACTCTGGAAGATCAAAGCATTTATACAGGACCTGTTTTTCTATTGATTTAAGTCGATCTCACCAAGAAATTACTGTCTTATGGTATTGTATAAGCCTGGGTTTAAACTGGCATCACAAGATGGATGAGTTAACATAATTTTTTGTTTAGTTTTTATTCTGAGAGCTAGCCTCTGGTCTAGAGCACTGTGTCATAGTTTCTGTCTTACATCAGGTTAGAGGCTATAGTGGTATTTACTGTTTTCCATGACGCTACGTAGTGCCTAAAGCACTTGACTGCTAACCAGAAGGCTGGCAGTTGAAACCCACCAGCCACTCCTCGGAAGGAAGGTTGGGCAATCAACTTCTGTAGTGATACTGCCTCGGCAACCCAAGGAGGGGTCTTTATGAGTGGGGTCCAACTTGACGGCACATAACAATAACAACAATGTGAAATCTCAGTTCTTTTCTATTCCAAGTAAAATGGCTTTTTATATCTGTCTTATGATTTGGGATTTAAATAGCTACTTTGAGAAATTTTGATATAAATTTGTCTATTTTAAAAGTACGCTGTTTATTTTGATTAGCATAATAAGGCCTTAGAAAGGGACAAATTACTCTGGTGGTGTAGTGGTTAGGGAATTTGGCTGCTAACCAGAATGCTGGTTTGAACCCAAAAGCCTCTCCACGGA